CGGCCTCGGGAACGGCGGAGCGGCAGCACAATGAGGAGGCGGGGGCCACTACGCGGGCCCCGAAGTCGGCGGCGGCGGCGACGGTCCGGCGGCGGTAGTAGACGCGGGCGGCGGGGAAAAGCGGATATCGATGGCACGGGCGGCCTCGGGAGCGGCGGCGCGGCAGCACAATGAGAAGGCGCGGGCCACATCGCGGGCCCCGAAGGCGGCGGCGGCAGCGACCGTCCGGCGGCGGTAGCAGCAGCGGGCAGCCGTGAGACGGCGGATGTCGATGGCGCGGGCGGCCTCGGGAGCTCCGGACCGGCAGCACCTGGCGAGGGCGCGGGCCACAGCGCGGTCCTCGAAGGTGGCGGCGACAGCGACGGTCCGTCGGTGGCAGCATCAGCGGGCGGCGGTGGAAAGGCGGATATCGATGGCGCGGGCGGCCTCGGGAACGGCGGAGCGGCAGCACAATGAGGAGGCGGGGGCCACTACGCGGGCCCCGAAGGCGGCGGCGGCAGCGACCGTCCGGCGGCGGTAGCAGCAGCGGGCAGCCGTGAGACGGCGGATGTCGATGGCGCGGGCGGCCTCGGGAGCTCCGGACCGGCAGCACCAGGCGAAGGTGCGGGCCACAACGCGGGCCCCGAAGGCGGCGGCGGCAGCGACCGTCCGGCGGCGGTAGCAGCAGCGGGCAGCCGTGAGACGGCGGATGTCGATGGCGCGGGCGGCCTCGGGAGCTCCGGACCGGCAGCACCAGGCGAAGGTGCGGGCCACAACGCGGGCCCCGAAGGCGGCGGCGGCAGCGACCGTCCGGCGGCGGTAGCAGCAGCGGGCAGCCGTGAGACGGCGGATGTCGATGGCGCGGGCGGCCTCGGGAGCTCCGGACCGGCAGCACCAGGCGAAGGTGCGGGCCACAACGCGGGCCCCGAAGGCGGCGGCGGCAGCGACCGTCCGGCGGCGGTAGCAGCAGCGGGCAGCCGTGAGACGGCGGATGTCGATGGCGCGGGCGGCCTCGGGAGCTCCGGACCGGCAGCACCAGGCGAAGGTGCGGGCCATAACGCGGGCCCCGAAGGCGGCTGCGGCGCCGATGGTCCGGCGTCGGTAGCATCACTGGGCGGCGGTGAAACGGCGGATGTCGATGGCGGAGGTGGCGTCAGGACCGGCGGAGCGGCAGCACCAGGCGACGGCGCGGGCCACAATGCGGGCCCCGAAGGCGGCGGCGACAGCGACGGTCCGGTAGTGGCAGCAGCAGTGGGCGGCGGTGAGACGGCGGATGTCGATGGCGCGGGCGGCCTCGGGAGCGGCGGAGCGGCAGCACCAGGCGAAGGCGCGGGTCACAACGCGTGCCCCGAAGCCGGCGGCGCTAGCGATGGTCCGGCGATTTAGCAGCAGCGGGCAGCCGTGAGACGGCGGATGTCGATGACGCGGGCGGCCTCGGGAACGGCGGAGCGGCAGCACAATGAGAAGGCGCGGGCCACTAATCGGGCCCCGAAGGCGGTAGCGGCGGCGACGGTCCGGCGTCGGTAGCATCAGCGGGCGGCGTCGAAACGGCGGATGTCGATGGCGCGGGCGGCGTCAGGACCGGCGGAGCGGCAGCACTAGGCGAAGGCGCGGGCCACAATGCGGGCCCAGAAGGCGGCGGCGGCGGCGACGGTCCGGCGGCGGCAGCGGCAGGCGGCGGCGAAGGTACGATCTCGAAAGGTATGTGCTGGGGCGTGGGTAGAGTCCCCGCGGAGGAGGTTTATGAAGCATCCCCACTCCCCCCCCGACGGCGGGATCGCCGCCCACGCTACACTGGTCCTCTCCTTGAGCACCTCAACCATGATGTCGGCGTGGTTGTCCACGGCGTTGAGGAAAAAACATGGCACGGCCCTGTCGTCCATTTTCGCCGCCGGCTGCTCCCACATGAAATCGTACTGGAAAACGGGATCAAGCGAAAACGGCCTCCCTTGCCGGTGTAGAGTTCCTGCCGCTCGCGCACCCCCTCGGTCTCGTGCATCGTTGACGAAGAAAGAATCGCTCCCTCCTCCGTCCGCGACGCCTTCCCCGGGGGGAGGGACAGCCTGACCTGATCCCCCCATAGTTATCGTCCGTCTCCGTCCGGCATGATGTTGCGCGCTTAGACACGGCGGCCACTCACTTGATCGTTACGCGAGCGTGCTGAGTAGCTTTGTGCGTCGGTGCCTTGGCGCGCGGGGTCCCTTGGTTGGGAAATAAAAGAGCCAGCGGCGCGGTAGCCGCCAACGGTACAGTGTAGGAACTATGATGGGCGTGACAGCCTTCTACTTTGGGATGGAGCGTGATAGTTCGGGTATGGTATCTCTTGATGTGGCATGGAAGCCTGGTGACGTGATAGTCGTGGTGTAAAGGAACATGTAAGGACGTGAATGTCCGGAATGCGTGATAGCCGGGTGGCGTGATAGCCAGGATTGGCGTGGAAGTCGTGGCGTGATAGACGTGGTAGCGTGGTAGCCGGGGAAAAAGGACTTGATTGCACACAGGAAGGAGGAAAAAGAGGAAAGAAAAATAAGTGAGAAACCACAACAACACACAATCACCATATCCGTTGTAAACACACACATACCCCCACCCTCAATCCTGGAATATACGGCAAGAAGGTTGGTACCATCAAATCGAATTCAAAGCAAATGCTGAACCCCCAAACTCCCCGCTCCATCTGCTCGGAAATTTCTTGCTTGCAATAATTTGTCGATGCTGTGAGTACGTCTAGCACGGGGGGGGGTGTTCGTTGCTTGAAGTGGTTAAAAAAACATAGAGCCATCAAAGCAAAGCTTATTTCTCACGTCGAGCAAGCTGAACGACCAGACCAACCGCGTAAAAACTGCGGAGCTAGATGTGCGGCACGCACAATATATTGTTTTCGATTGGAGAGGGGCGAGTACAAAGCAGTAAGGAATTGTTGGCCAGACGTTCGGCAGATAGGTGTACTCGGGAGCGTATGTGGGGTAGCAACCTATGGTGGAGCGTACATGAATGAGAAGCTGGACGTTGGTGTACGCTCCATCCCGTCGTGTGAGTAGGATCAAGTCATCTCTGAACTTATTGTGGTGAAAATGACCTCCCAGGAGGAAAGTAGCCTGTTCCGCGGGACTTCGGAGATGATAAATTGGGTGGTCGGGGGACGTCTGAGTGTTTACTAAGCAGAGCGCCCGGCACAAGACTGGGGTACATGTCTCAGGAGGTGTGAACTTGGATTTGACTACGAGCCTATGTTGGAGGTGCTATTTAGCGTCGGCGAGCCAGTAAAAGAACTGAAAGGAACCACAACCCCCCGCCGGACACTCGGATTGGGAAGGCCGAGTATTCCGTGTACCTTGCTGAATAAACACGAAAGACAAGTGGCCACGGTCCAGTTGCTCTAGAGATCATGAGGATGGTGAAGAAGCCGGGAGGATGGAAGCAGAAACTGTGGAAGGGAAGTTGGAGCTGCTGCTGTTTGGGATTCCATGGGACATGACGAGGATAGAGTTCAAGAACTGTTGTGACAGGGAGGTACTGCACTGCCTAGGAAGGGGACAAGTAGGCAGAGAACATGAACACTTCCGGGTGAAATTGACCAAGGGAGACAGCCAAGAGTGCTTGGGGGTTGATATCGAGAAGCTGTCGAACTACGTAAGGAAGTTTGGATGGAGGGTTTGCATCGCGAACATGATAGAAACAGAGAAGGTAAGGAGACAAGAGGCGAGGGCGATGGAGGCGAAGAAAGGACCGAGCGGGGGAGTCGCGCAAGCAAGTCAGAAGAAGTCCGAGAAGGAGTCCGAGTGCGCAAAATCTCCAACAGGGAACAGCACAAGCTGAGAGTGGGGTCGTGGAACGTGTGCGGGTTTGCAAGGAGGGAGCGCAAGCGGTTGGAAATAGTGGATTAAGTAGAACAAAGCGATCTAGATGTAGTGGGGATCCAAGAGACGTGGGAATTGAAGGATGGGGACGTGGTAAGCAAACTAGGGA